AGCTGTAGTGGTCTGCAGCCTCTCCAGCAGCTCACCACTGATACTGTGGAGTCTCCTCTGACTCTGTCTGACTGTCTGGAGACTAAAGCACCAGGTGAACATCAGCGGTGGATGTGGTCCCTGCAGGTCTGACCGTGACTTTGCAGCTGCTGAGTGCAGCTCTGTGTCCTGATGCCTGATGGGCTGTGAACTCCATTAGTGAAAGTGACTGGTAAGCACGACACAGTCGGTCTCAGCTCATCATGGGATCCTTTTTATTGATTAGGGTTCAATCGATAACACGGCTGTCAAGGTCAGGATGCGTTAGCAACACCGTGGCATCACTGTTGAAAAGATCCAGACTATGATATTTTACTTAGAATTAAATTCCTGTTAAATTAATCATTGTATATTAAATGTTTTTAGCCACACTGTCATGTTGACCAGTCATCCCACCAGCTGAGACAATTAGTCGATTTATCGATTATTGAATCAGAAAAATAATAATGCAACTATTTTGATAATCGACTAATCTTTTTTATATCTGTACCTGCTTTCTATCACAGTAAACTCTCCCTTTTTTTCACTATTTTTTTTCATTTACTAAACAAATTATCAGAAAAATTATCTGAAAATAAATTAATTTAAAGTAAAAATAATTGTTAGTTGCAGTTCAAGTCCAAGACAAATATTGATAAATATGAATTCCAATCATTTTTTTTGTTGATCCTCTGATTTTTCAACTAGCGCTACCATCAGGTCAAAATGATCATTTTCTGATACTTTATGACCAAACACCTACAAAAGCCTCAGCTGTCTTTGTGTTCAGTGCTAATTAGCAAATGTTAGCATGCTACCTTGCAATATTAAGTTGGTGAACGTAGTAAACATTATACCTGCTAAACATCAGCATGTTAAAGGTTAAGTTCTATGTTTTTCTCACCGTCAGTCTCTCGGTTCTTCCTGACTTCCTGTCTGTGGCTCTCAGCTCTGAATTCATTGGTTCCTACTGAAGATGTAAATCTTTAAAAACACATCACACATATATAGTTCCTGTTGGATGAGTTCATTGTTGGTTTGGGATTCAATAACAAGATGAAGGATACAGAATGGATCAGCTGTGTTGGTATCATCATGATTTTTACCTTCACTTTTACCACCCTCTCTCTCCTCAGGCAGAGAAGCTGCAGCTCTGCACAGTGATCATCCTCCAGTAGTTTCATATCCATTAAACGAATGAATGTTGTTTCCTTTACACCTGGAGTGTCATTCATTCATTCATTCATTCACTCATTCAAATGGACTCTCTGGCTCGTAGCCAAAGACTGAAAGCTTCAGTGTTCATGGTGAGACAGGAAGTTACCCGTGTCGTTCGAGGTCAGCTGACTCATCAAAGTGTTTCCTCATCTAAAACACACACACACATTCATCTGACATAATGATGTTACAGTTTAAATGTCTTGTGCATCAGCCGAAGGCAATAAAATCAAATTGGATTATTGATGACACATGAACCTTTAAAGATGCCTCCTGCTGGGAAATCAAGAAATAGAAGACGTCATGAAACATTTGATCTGAGAGAAAAATATAAAAGGACCCACTGGGATTCATCAACTATGAAAGTATTTTATTGCAGCTCAGTGTCTTTTTTCCTTTCATGCAGCTGATGGTTTACTGTGTTGTGTTTTGGGCAGCAGCTAGTTCAAGTCAAGAAGTGACATAAGTGATTGAACTTCCACTGTCGGTGGTCACATGCTGACACTTTGACCTCATTCCCCTTTTACCTCCAGCCTACATGTTCAATAGGAAATGGACACCACGTTTTCCCAATGTGCCTCAAGGCAACCTTTCACCTCGTCCATTTTTACACTCGTGTTCAAAAACTTGTACAGATACGGACCAGTAAACAAGCTGGACAATTATCACACACTTTTCATAACTTCATCCACATCAGATCAGACCAGGATCATAATTTGACAGTGTTATGGTTTCCTTGAATTCCTTACTGACTGTAGACTTGTTTTCTCTCTTCTGGATCACATACAGTGCTCTCTATGTTCATGTCTGTACCATGAAATCAGTGTTGGAGAAACGTCACAGTGCCTAGTTTAACAAATGGAAGCAGTGCAGTTAATGTCATGTTTCCTCAACTGGCTTGAGATTCACTGATATGTGTCAAATCTAATCGTTACACACATGCTGCACATGATGGATTCAGAGACTTGGATGTGACCTTTTTCAAGTTATTCTGGTTCATTTATTGTTTTTCATGGTTGTGTTTTGAGACTGAATGTTTCATATGAGTTCAGCTTCCTGACCAGTGTCCCTCTGAATCCAGCCACCGTGAACCATCAGTGTCAGAGCTGTGAGAGGAAGTGTTGTGGAAACCTGTCAGACAGGTGGTGATGATGCATTCATGAGGACAGACAGACTCTCAGCTGAATAATATATATCCATTATTTCCTCTCTTTCTGAGCCACAATGTCTTTGTTATAGTTAATGAGTAAAAGCAGATTTATGCCGTGCATCCACACCTGGTTTAATGATGTTGTAGCTCACTTTAGGTGGAGAGAACAGGGTAGAAACAGAGACCAGAGGCCGAGATGTGGAGAGACAGTTCCCAGATCATCCTGTCGTGACCTCGTTCATCAGTCTTTAATCCTCCTGTGTCCTTGGTATCACAGCAGTGAGTCAGCAACACACACACGCACACACATTCACTGGAGGAAAACGTGGCTGCAGCATCTATAAAGTCATCATGACTAGGTATTTGGTGGTATATTTTAAAAACCTGGAATTTGGTTCTAATGAATTCAGAAACCTGTTAGTTTACTGTAACTGGCATCTGTCAGGTAACTATCATGGGGACTGTCACTTAACTGTCGGGTTACTGTCACGTTACTGTCAGGTAACTGTCACTTAACTGTCGAGTAACTGTTTAACTGTCAGCTGTCACTTAACAATCAGGTAACTGTCACGTTACTGTCACTTAACTGTTGTGTAACTGTCACTTAACTGTCAGGTGAAGGACAGTTAACTGATTGGCTAGTTTTTTGCTATGGTGAACGAGAGGCAGGTCTCGGTCTCAGTTGTTATATTGAAGGTCGTGACTGGAGGCCTTGAGGGTCGTGATGAGTCTCTCTGCTGCTGTCTCTCGGCCTGTGGCTGTGACACAGCAGTGGGGAAGTTGTGAGTCAGCTTAATGCAGCGTCTCTTATGGGAAACACTTATTTAGTTTAACTTCCTCTTTAAAGTCAGTGTGTGGTGGGAAAATGTTGAATAAAATTAAGTCTTGGTTTAGAGATGAGGCCTCATGCTGCTGGGTCTGTGCACAGTTTTCTTTATGTCAGTGACAAATGTATCTGTGACTCAATAATATCAGTAGTTATTTGTGTCTGACCTCAGCATCATGTTCCTGCTCTGGGGTTTTTTTTTCTATAATCTCCCTTCAGGACATGCAGATGATCATTTTAAAAGAATCCAGTCATAATGTTTTGACTTTTCTGCTTCTCTCACATTGAAATCACAAGTTGTTCAGCTGCGTTTTGCCTCTTGTGTTTGAGAGAACACACGTCAGCTGTTTTAATTTAGGCTTCGACAGAAGCTTGTGATGCTCAGGTTAGTTTAGGGTACGGTGGCCTTCAGGGGACAAATGACTGAGGTTGTTTTTTAATTTGTTCTTACAGAGTCTGTGCCATGTGCTCAGACTGCAGGGTGTGTTCTGGTTTTAGTTTCTGGCCTGATGAGAAAATGGAAAGGTTGCTGAGTAGACTGATCAGTTGTTTTTTTTTTTAATTATATAATTACAATTACAATTAACAATATAATAAAACAAGTTTTTTATAGTGAAGTGTCACTGTGTTACTTCTGCTCAAAGAGAAGCTAAAGTGACTCCACCCAAAATTTGCCTTTTTAGTATCAAACACTCTCACACCCCCATTGACCTGAAACAGGCCTGCCTTGTTTTTTCCTGCCTCAGGGCTTATATCCTGTCTCACCTGTGTGTGTGTGTGTGTGTGTGTGTGTGTTTCAGTGTGGCTTCACAGTCAGGATGTAATGGGTGTGTCTGATCGCTGTCTGTCATTTTTCTGCAGGAACAGCTGATTGTTTTTTATTAGGGGTGTGGCGCGTGTGTGTGTGTTTGTTGTGTGTGTGTGTGTGTGTGAGAGAGAGAGAGGTAGAGACAGTGGTGGTTAATGTGTTATCTCCACACTAACCTTTGTCAGCACACACACACACACACACACACACACACATGCTTGAACACAGCCTGCAGTGTTGAAGCTGCAGATCAGTCCAGCTGCCACGTGTTCCAGCTGTTAATCACAGTTTAAGTCAGAGCTGCTGCTCCACTCTGAACTGTAATTGATTTTCTGTAGAGGCTTCTTTCTACGTGTGTGTTAAAAATCTCTCAACAACCACAACCAGGTTCATCTTCAGTCTTCAGGGGAATCTTTTTGTCTGTTGTCTAAAATGTCCAACAAACAGAATAAACATGAACGTAGACTGATTAATCCTTTAGTCTCTTAAATGTCAGAAGGTCTGGGCGCCATCAAAGTAGAAAAGAACAGTCCAATATATGTCGAATATAAAGATATTTAATTTACTATGATTTAAACACTCACATTAAAGTTAAAACCAGCCAATATTTCAATTTTCTTGATAAATGACCTAAATGATAATGATTTTTTTTAATTGTTGATGATTCATTTTCTCTGTATTGCTTCATTGCACATTAAACTTTCTCTAAAACCCACTAGTCATGTCTGTTAACCTGTAAAGTGAGATTTTAAAGTGTTTTTTAAATATTGAACAAAGCAGAAAAGAAAACCCAAATAATGATCAGATGTGATGTTAAATGTATGAGATATGTTAAAATAATCAGTTCCCTCATTGATCGATCTTAACATCAGTCTCCATCTTTTTCTCTCTCCAGCTCGTCTTGCTCAGTGTCTCCATGGTGAAGTGGGCGGGGTCTGATGTCAGCCCCTCCTCTCGTCGACCCTCCTGCCATGCCCACCATGGTTTCTAGACTTCCCAAGTTCGGCTTGCGTCCCAAACCTGCCACACTCTCCAACGCCGCTCAGACAGGTCCGACTGCTACCGCCAATGCCGCCACCTTCACCGGCGCCACTGCAACCAGCACCCGCCTCACCAATGGCTTCTACCATCACCCCGGCCCGGCAGGGGTCAACAGCGGTCTGACTGCGCCCCCCTCCTCTGTTAAGCAGAATGGGTCCATCAGAGTGCCGACCTCCATGAAATGGAGGAAAGAAAATGGGGCGATGGAGGAGGGAGGGGCTGATGCAGAGAAGGAGTGGAGAAGAGGAAAAGGCGGGAATGTTGGACAGAATCACCCCAGTAACAACATCCATCAGTATTGTTCCCAAAGGCAACACGGATCACCAGTGGTGTTGCAGGGTGACCCCAAAAAAATGACCACATCCTCTGCAGGAAAAGGGCGTGGTCTTGGCCTGCCTGGGACATCATCATCATTGACCTCGCCACAGCCCAGCCCCAGAACACTTCCTGTTTGTAAAAGTGGATCTGTGGGTTCCAAACCGAGCCAGACTGTGTCCAGGCCGACCAACGGCACAAAGCAGACCCTGAACGGTCTTCCTGGATCTAAACCCCGGAGTGGAACCAGTGGGTCTCTAAGACAGCCTCAGGGTTTTGCTCGTCCTGGCGGTTCTAGGCCAGGTTCTGGTCCTGGGTCTCGATCTGGTTCCCCCCTCCAAAAGAAACCGCCAGCCAGCCGCTCACAGTCTAGTGACAACCTTGGATCCACTGCATCCGTCCAGCTCACCGAAAGCGACCGGTTTCGGTCACGTAGCCTCACCCAGGTCCGACAGCAGCCCTCCCCCTCCCCTGCCCTTACCTCCACCTCCACCTCCACCTCCTCCCTTGCCCGCTCCCCCACCGCCACCCGCTCCTACTCCATCAACAGGGCCGCTGAGCGAGGCCTCAAAGAGCTAACAGCTTCCTCCGCTCAGGCTCCACCCAGAGGCAGCTCAGCAAAATCACCTGTTCCCAGCCAGACTCTGGAGGGCAGACGTGGAGGAGTCAAAGTTCAAAGTGCTGTTGCTTCTGGTAGGTCAGGGTTCAGCATCCCTTCCCTCCTACCCCCCTCTGCCTTAAAGAAACCCCTCCTGCCCAGCCTTGGCCCCGCCTCCAAGCCCAGTGGCATCAGCTATAAGCTGTCACGCCCGTCACTCATGAAGCAGTCCCGCCCCCTCCGGGTGACCACAGACAATGTGTCCAGAGGTGACCAGGAAGTGAAGCAGGCACTGAGAGGGCGGAGGAACTCACTAGAGATTCCTTCTACGACAGAAAACAGCCCAGGTACGAGATTATCATCAAAGTCCTGTCTGAAGTTAAAACCAATGATCTCACTGTTTTTGTTTTTAATGATGTTTCATCTGAACAGATTTTCAGTTTCATACCTTCAACCATCCAAATCATTATGAATTTCTCCTCTCAACTAATCTCATCCCATCTCTTTCTTCTCAGTTCCTCTATCTCATCTTATATCATAAAATCTCCCCATTGTCATGTTTTATCCCTCATATCTCATGTCATGTTTCATTTTCTTTTTCATCTCAAATAACTGATAAAATCATTTCCCACATTTAATTTCAACCTCTCTTCCCTTAACTTCCTCTGTGTAGTTATTTTAAACCTCATAAAATCTCACATATCTCATATATCTCCTTTTTCATTTGAAACCTCATTTTAAATCTCTAATCTCTCATTGCATTTAATCTCATCCTATCTCGTCCCTTTACTTCTGTCACTTCTTATAATTCATAAAATCTGCATTGTCATATTTTATCCCTAATGTATTATTACTTATGTCATCCTTTATATCATATTTCAAATCTTTCATCACAGTTTATCTCATCTTATCTCACCCTCCTCTTTCCTTCCATCATCATTCTCATCAGTTCTATAGTTAGTTATATTTTATCTCTCCAGTGTCATCAACTGAAAGATCATGTGTCGTCTTTTTTTTTTTTTTTTATCTCTTCTCATCTTCTCTTCTTCTTGTATCCCATCAAATCACATTGATAATGTGTCACTCAATTCCCATCATATCTCTTATTTCATATATGCCCCCCCCCCACTATCAGAGAGCACCCCAGAGGCTCCAGAGCCAATATCCCGGGCAGAGGTGTCGATTGTGGGGGAGACACTGGAGGACATGTCACTGTCTTCAACCTCCTCTCTGGATAGGAACGACACCAGTCAAGAGTATATGGACGACTTTGACAACCTCGGTAAAAACGAATAGAAAGACAGACAGATACTTCACTGTTGTCCACTCTAATTTATAATCAATCACTCCTGTATGTGATCACTGGAAACCACTGACACCTTGTGTTTGTAGGAAGCGGAGGAGTCGGCATTATGCTGCTCTCCTCCAAAAATGATGAAGACGACTCAGGGCTCGACCAATCATGTGCCAGGTTTGATGATGACAAGGTGGCCATCAACGGTGTCACCAAGGCAACAGGACTGTGTTTCCTGGACGATGGTATGGACTGGACCGGCATGAGACTAAGTGGTGAGTTTTTTTTTTTATATATATGTGTGTGTGTATATATATATATATATATATATATGTATAAATATTCAATGAACAAGTTTTTAAAGACGTCTGTTTCTCTCCAGGCGATCGAGGGGAACATCGTCTGACCCAGCTCTCACGCCGGAGACAGTCCAGTCAGCCAGATTATCATGACCAGGTACCGTAACAATCGATCAATCAATAAACAGATTGACAGAAAACCTCTGTATCTGCGCGCTTACAGCTATCACCATCTGTAATCTGTTCACTGTGAAGCTAATTAGATTTCCATTCTTCACTGTTTCATTCTAACATAGATTAGTGCCACATAAATTTCGCTTGCTAATTTGTTACGATGCAATTATGTCATTAAAATTATGTAATATCACAGATGCAAATGATGTGTCATGTGTCATGATACTTGACTCACAGTTTAAAGGTGCAGCAGTTACCGTTGGTTTCTCTGACCTCACCCAGAGATACTTAGAACATAGTGACAAATCAGTCCCATTTTTAACAGGGTGAAAGCTTCTGACAGCTTCTAACATCCTGCCATTTTTATTTCCTCCACTTCTGACAGACTCATATTTTCCTTTGTTTGTTGTTAGCTTTCAAAGTGTCTCGTTGTCAGTCAAACTTTATTTGCACAGATAAATGCATTTTCTATAGATGACTGATAAATAATAAAATGATAAAAACCAATAAAACACGGCGAAATGCATCAAAAAGAAGACAATAAGAAATAAAACAGATTTTAAGGAGTGAAAACATTTAAAAAAGATGAAGCACTTAAGTTCATGTTTAAACACAACAACACTTTCAGCTGCAGTGAGTATTCACTACTATAAACTCCTCTCTGACTCTAATGTTCTCTGGCTTTTGCCTCTGCAGGGTGGGTCGTCCCTGGATCTGTCCCCCTCCGACAGCTGTGGGTCTGGGGGAACCTACATGTGGGACGAGGAGGGTCTGGAGCCACTGGGGGGTGCCGTCACGACCGCTTCCATCACCACCAACGGCAACACCACCCACCACATCGGGAGCTTCGACTCGGACCTCAACAGCATCGTAAGGCCCGAGTCTGAGACATGAGAATTTGGTGCAGTGATTTAATGTGATTTAACTAAGTGGTAACAGCATACAAAAAACTGAGATTTTTTCATTTTATTAAATTTGAAATGATTGTTTGATTGATATAATATTATGTATAAAGTTTATTTAATCAGGTCTGCAACAAGAAACCTTCATAATCAAACGACCAGCACACAAAGCACAGATACACAAAGAACCAGTAAAAACAAAGACAAAATTCATAAAAACTTCAGATAATAAAGCTTTTAGAGTTTGCAGTTAATTCCATTTAAAAGGAGCAAAGAACCTGAAAGTAGTTCTGCTGAGATCGGTTGTTATTAAGAACTTTCCTTGGTTTTTCTTGGTGAAACACACTGAACAGAAAAGAGACAAAGTGAGTATTTAATATTCCAGCAGCGTCAGCTCCGTCCTGCCTCTCTCCTCTATATGAGGCCGTTTTTTTGGCCTCAGAAACCACAGACCAAAAACCGGGTCAGGGCTGTCTCGTGGTTGGCAAGTGGCCGCCAGTGAGCCGAGCGAAAAGAACGAGCTGAGCGTGGAACGGGCAGAAACAGGCCGTCGCTGATGAAGTGAAATGTCAGAGCGTTGCTGCCGGTCACAGTTGGCAATCGTTGCACATTTCTGGAACTAGTCTGAACTTGAGGACTCTGAGAGGAGCTCAGACCTCAGACCTCCTCCAGCTCTGCACAGATCTGTAACTATCACAGCTGCTGCTTCTACAACCATCTGATTGTCCAACACTTGAATTTAAAAGACTTTATCACCACAGCAGAGGAAATCAAGTCAGTTCTGAGCCTAGTTCTGCTGAATCAAAGCTCATTCTCGACACTTCCAGTCCTAACTGAATCCATGTTCTGATCCCTGTCATATCATGTAAGTACAAAAAGCAGAAATAACCAAAAGGTGTTAAAGTCCTCACTTTCTTTTAAATCAGAGATCAGACCGGCTCCTGGTCTCGGAGGTTTTTCATCTTTAAATCATCAGCTTCTACGTGTTCAAATCTGGCTTCATTAGGACTGTTGAGGTCTGAATGAAATCCTCTGGCTCCATCTGGTGTCTGTGCTGTGAATTACAGCTGCCACTGTAAACACGTCAGCCTTTAATTGGCTCAATGTGCTGAATGAAGGTGACCCAGCTCGAGGGTTTTTACTCTTTTATCACATGACTTTCAGTAATTAAACTAAAAATACAGATGACAAATCAAGACATGACATTGTTGTATTTTATAAACAATACGTTTTTGTGTTGCTGGTGATACAAGAAACAAGAACATGCAAGAATTCAAATTTCACAAACCCCAACATTTTAGCAGTCAAAATAATATCAGACTATTACAGTTATTTTTAAAGTAAGTGTATTTCCTAAGCACGTTTCAAGAGCAGATGTCGAAAATATTATTACAATATTATTATTAAATAAGTATAAAATAAATAACATACTACAAATTAAACTAAAACAAAGTCTAAACAAGTAGATCCAGTCGATACACATACAGAGAGCTGATAAATCAGTGCAGGTTTTTAAGTTTATTTAATCAACATCTCACTAATCAGTTATCAGTCAGAGCTTTAATTGTCTTCAGCGGATAGTGGTTCAGTTGCATCTGCACAAACCACCGCTACAAGCACTCCTCCTGTCTCCTCTTCAGTACTGTTAATACACCTCCTGAATAATGCTGAGCGGTCGTTAATGAGCTCCCTGTCTTTATGTGCCCTCTGTGTTAATGAGCTGTGGGTCTTCAAGAGTGATTGACCCTAATGAGGCTCAGGGCCTTAATGATCTGAAGACATTAACGAGTTCTGAGCTGATGTCTGGAGTCTAAATATTCATGACACCTGATCGTCTTTTGAGTTTGTCGACCCTGAGATTCTGAGGCTTCTGAGTTTGTTGGGTGCAACAAAAAATGACCAGCAGGGGTCAGTGTTGCTCTAAGGACAGGTCTGTGTGTGTGTGTGTGTGTGTGTGTGTGTGTGTGTGTGTGCGTTCATGTGCCCTTAGGGCTGAAACTGCAAACAACACACTCTCACAAAATAAACAGTTGGTTCTCGGGTCAAACAGCCTGAAATCAGTGGAAGGCTTGTTTATGTGTGTGTGTGTGTGTGTGTGTTTGTGTGGCTTCCATACATGACTAAAACATTGATTGATGAATTAGCAGACAAAGAGGAAGTAGGATACGTGTTGATGAAAACTCATGAAAAACATTCATAAATAACATTTTTTCATTTCAAAAATCAGAAGCTTTGCAAATGAATATTATGATGAAATATCTGACCCTGATCCCAGTCTGAGTCCTTTAATATCAGATATCTGCCAATACTGAGTCTGATCCTACACTTAAAGTATAAGTACTTCAATGTTGATTAAATATTTATCTGACATCTTGACATAACAGCTACTGAATCTGAGAGGTCCAGGTTCATAAATATTAATGTTTATTAGCTTAAATCAGTGTTGCAAGTTTAGCTGGATAAGGTGACTCCTGAAACTGACGTGACATGATCCACAAGAGAGAAGAGGTCTCACTCTGGAGTTTTTGACTGACTGTACAGTGGTGTCACAGAGTGGAGCTTCTTCCTTTAAAAAAAAAAAACAGCTTTGGCTGAATTCAAACACACAAACCAACAACAGATGAGTTCAATGTTCTGTTGTCAAGTTACTGACGGAACGTGATCGTGGCTAAAACGAATAAATGTCAAAATCAGGTGCCGGACTTCCCAGATTCACATTGCTAGGACATGAGAATGGAGGATGAAGAGGTTAAGGCGAAAAAGAAAGGGCAGGGAAAAGAGAGAGGAGGACCAGAAGAGAGGTTTGGAAGAGAAAAGCAGAATCAAAGTTTGGTGGAGAGGAGGTGAGGGGAAAACAAGAAAAGAGAAGTAAGAAAAAGACTGAAGGTTGGGAGAAAGATGAGATGGAGAATAGGGAGGAAGGACAGAAGGGGAAGAGAAAAAGGCATTAATTAACAGGAGGAAAGCAAAGAAAGGGAAAAGGGAGAAAAAGTAGGGTGAGAGGAAAGTAGAGGAAAAGAAGGAGAGAAGATAAGAGGAGAGGAGGAAAGTAGGAGAAAGGGAGACGAGGACAGAAGAAGGAAAGGATGAGAAATAAAGGAGGAAGAGAGAGATAGGAGAGGAGGAGAGAGCAGAAAGAGGAGATTAGGAGGTAATGTGTTGATGTGGATGGCTGCTCCCAGCCACCGGGGACAGGCAGGAGTTTCTGCAGGGGTGTGTGTGTGTGTGTGTGTGTGTGTGTGTGTGTGTGTGTGTGTGTGTGTGTGTGTGTGTGTGTGTGTGTGTGCAGCAGTTACTCAGGGTGAACGTTTGGTTTCCTCTCAGGTCACTGTGCTGTGACTAAGCTTCCACAGGCAGAAAACATCGAAACACACTTGTGTGTTTTTGTGTGTGTGTATGGAGACAAACTCTTCATCTCTCCCTCATCTTCGTTTGCACTAAACAAACTCTCTGTCAAGCTAAAGTTTGTTTTCAATAATGAGCTCAATTATTTTGAATTGTGTTCCAGATACAACCTACAGTTCTATTCCAAATCCCATGATCAGATCCGGACCAACAGTGTGTCGGTCCGTCTCTCAACACTTCCCTCCTCTATCTGTGGCCCATTGGTTCCTACTGAAGATGTGAATTTTAAAATATATGGTTTCTGTCTTTCTGACATCTGTTACTAAATGGAAATAAGTTAAAGAAAGTTTAAGTTTACCGTTTGCAAAGTAAAAGAAAAAAAACATTTCAGCCAATATTAGAATAAAATCATTTTAGCCACAGTCTCCAAAAACAAATAAGTGGTAGTTTTTGTATATCTTGCTTCAAAATCCATCATAATTGAATCCTCAGCCTCTGCTTCATAGCACAAACCTACAAAACCTCAGACTACCATTGACTTCCTCACAATAATGGGAAGGTCTTTTAGTCTTTTGTCAGCATCTAGTTGAAGTTCACTCTATCATAGTTGTTTTGGGTTTTGTTTTTTACAGAAAAGAAAAAGAAATAATTTGGGTTTTCATTTTTATTCCTTTGTGTCTGTGTGTTTGTTCAAGGGTGTTAGTTTGTGCGAGGTCGAACAGAGCTGTGCATGTACAGTATGTCTGTCTCACAGTGTTGTTCAGTTGAGCAGCTAAAATATGTGGTTCAAGTACAGGGAACAGTTGTGTTGAGCTGCTAAAATATTTCTTATTTTTCCTGACAACAAAAAGTGAAAATGCTCATTATTCAGTAGAAAAATTCTACTGTATATTTGTCATTTTGCAGTGTTGTTCAAATGATCATTATAATATCCTGCATATGGTGAGTAGGCCAACTTACAAACTAAAGCTAAACAAGATGTTTCAGTCTCAGCAGTGTTGGTGCTGACAATTTATTTTTTAATTAATATTCAGTTGATAAAAAAAGGTCTGAATCAAAATGAAAAGTCATCATTTTTTTTATTTTTTTTTTACCTGTAGGCTACATATAAACATAGCAAAGTTGGGAAATATACAATGCAGCAGATAAACGACCATGTATCTGTGTCTTTGTATCTCTTTCAGGACATCTTGAACAACCTGGACTCCTGTGATCTGGAGGATGATGATCTAATGCTGGATGTAGACTTTGCAGAAGACGCCTCGCTGCACAGCGGTATGTTAGATGTCACAGCCTCACATAAAGTAAAATTATGGGTCCCAGCAAGGTTTTTAGTTTGTTGTTAGCACCACACACTACAGTATAATCCCCTTTCAACGGCCTGAATCTGGCTCATATACAGCATGATTAGCAGTTACCTAACTTTGGTTTTGAGAAAATGAACTGGATTTTCACAGCAGGAACTTCTGAAACGACTCCTCTCTGGATGTTTAGCTTATGAAATGATTGAAATGATTTTGTTCAGTTGAATTAACACTCCCATATCGGAGCTAAAACGGTTAAGTTCAAGCTAACAGTCAGTATAGGCACTAAGATATTTAAGATTAGTTTAGCTAAACAGCCAATTTAGGAGCTAAAACAGTTTAGTTCAAGCTAGCTAACAGTCAGTAGGGCCTATAGGAACTTAGTTATTTAAGTTTAGTTTAGCAAACTGGCCAGATAAGGAGCTAAAGCTGTGCGATTCAGGTTAGTTCACAATTCAGTTTGTTTTTGTTTTTTTTTAATAAGGTTTCAATTAAGGAGCTTAAACATTTTGGTTCAGCTTAGCTAATGCTTCTGTTTAGCTGCTGAAAAGCTAACAGTCCAACTAGCAATCACTATAGGAACTAAAATTGTTTTGGTTCAGTTTAGCAAACATTTCTTTTAGAGTAGCAGCTTAAACAGTTCAGTTAAGCTAACAGTCCAGTCTAGGAGCTAAACCAGCTTTGTTTAGGTTGGTAAACGTGAACAGCTAGCTAACAGTAGAGGTGTACTCACTGTACACCTGCAAGAAAACAACATTTCTGTTCTCTGCACAGAGGACATTATATAGTGCTTATGGTTTTTTTTCCTTTTTAGCTTTTTGGTACTCCAGATAAATGTTTTCTTTTGTATAAAAAAAAAACAAACAAACAAAAAAAAAAACCCTGTTTGACCATGCTGCTGATCTGAACTCTGCAGATGGAGATGGGATGTCCCACATGGCTCAGTGGAGGATGAGACAGCTCTGCTGGGGGACGCAGGATGTCCACAATGACAATGAAAGGTGAGGGAAGGTGCTTTTTGCTTGTTCTGAATCAAACTGCAGAGTTGTAGTTATTTTCAGTCTTGTTGGGGAAGAAACTTCTGCTCAAAAATATTATAAGTAAGTTTGTATTTGAAATATATATAGAAATATTCAGATTATCTTACTTACTTTGCCAGAAGACACTTAGGAGACTTTTGCTAGTTTTCTGGCATCTTCCTAATTATACTGTTGTAGTGCTGCCAATAGTTCAACTGATGGTGGCAAAAGGAAAGGTCAATGGGTCTGCCAAGATCAACAGTTTTCTTTTTGTTAGTTGCATGAATGTCATCAGCAAATACCGCTTATTCACCCACTGAGGGCTCAGGGTCAGAAAGGGTCGTTTCAAAGTTGAGAAGTTGGAGATGGTCGTGGATGCACCAAATCAATAGGTTTCTTTCTCTTTATAGAGAGAAAAATATATATACACATATAGACATGGAATATGTGCTGCCATATTTGTCCAATTAACAAGTCAGTTGAATGGGTCCAGAGGGCAGTTCACAGGGCTACTGAACTCAGTGTGTGGAGCAGATTTGGTGTAAATCTGCAGATTTTTTTGGGGTCAAATGATCAGGAGGAGGTGATAATGTCTGCTCCTTGGAGGAGAGAAAAATAGGGAAAGTTGGCGCTTTGAGCTAAATAGTTCTATATGAAATATGAGTATGAGATTTTAGTGGGAACAGTTTTGCTGCATTTTTACAGTTTTAATGATTCTGTGACTCACTAAAACAAACTCTGAAGAACAGTAATTGCGGTGCATGGTCAACTGTAAACCAACTGCACTGCATGTGCAATCCAAGAGAGACAACCATTTTTTGTTCTAAGCTGACGAGCACCTTTAGCATCCGAACCAAATTTCACATGAAATTTGTCCAAAATTACAAAGGCTATAAAGAACCGTTTATATTGGTGTGTTCCCAGTCAAACGTCCCATGCTCATAGAAATGTCAGACACGAGCATTAGCATTAGCAGTTTACAAAATGTTCAGGGCTATCATAAAATGCTGCTAATTTAAGAAGCCTCAAGTCACCTGAGGCAGTTAATAAAATCACTGCCTATGTTTGCTGCTGTTAATGTGGCAGCAGACTCATATTTTTGAAATAAAATTGAAATATATTGATACACTTTAATTAACATATATACTGACTGGTCTGGGAGGGACAGATACACACCACTAATGGCAGGACTTTCCAGACAATTCTGGGTCATGAAGCAGTATTGTTGCAGCAGGACAGGGAGAGAGAGGAATAAAAGAAATGGCTGAATTTATATCACTCTGGTAGCTGATTTTGAACATGATCACTGTGCATCATGTTTACAAGCTTTTCTATCGTCCCCTCAGTGACTTCCAGTGTTACAAGCTAACTGAGGATCCTGGGAATAAGAGGACAGACACGATCAGGGACAGTGACCTGATTCTGGACCTTTGTCCTTCAAGGTGATTCAGCACAAAACAGTATCAGTATCACTGTGCACTAAAACCAGAGCCCACAGGTTACTAGATTAGTACTTGAAGTTATTTTGCATGTGTGATCATCCCTGTCGCAGAGTGAAATAATATTAATTTCTAATCCCTGGTAGTTCATTGACAGTCAGCCTTTGTTTAATATTATTTTGAGTTGCCAGCCTCTTGTGTAGCTTGATAATTTTCTCGTACTGAGTTTATTCAGTGGAATATTAAAAGCTTATGCAGAAATATGTGAGCTTTATAAACGCTGAACCACATTTTTATATAAGTTTTTTTTTTTTTTTACACAAAAATTTTGGAATCAGCGCCAAAAGCCATTTAGATTTACAGTATTTTAGGCTTGTTCCTGAACACAACAGGCTGAGGAGCACTTACTGGATGTTGATGAGTTATAATTGTTAACATCTTCTATCCATCCCTTTTTCCTTTCAGGTCTCCTGGCCTGTCTCCTGGTAGTCCTGGTTTGGGTCTGGATGTGGAGGAACTGGCTGAGGACTGCTCTGCGGTGCGATCACAGCTGGAGTACCTGCAGAAGTTACTGCTGCAGGTGAGAGGGCAGGAAGATGAGCACCAAAACTGCATTTTACTGTGAAAATCAGAATTCAAAGACATGTTGCTCCTTTGTTTTTAATGTTGTTGTTGTTTATTTAAAGGTGTAATGTGTAAGATCGTGCAACTTTCTCCAATTCCATAGGGGGCAGCATTTCACCTCTTCGCCCCTGTCCAGTTAATCATGTTGTTATCCTCATGTTCCTTATAATTTATTATTTATATGTGCATTTATTGTTGATAGCACTGAAACAAATTATGAGTACTTGTAATACAAACAGTATGTTTTTATTTACCTATAAAAATATGAAGGCAAGGGGATACTGCATGACACATGGGTGTCAGGCTACAGCAGCATGAGGAAGGGATGATGACATCATCACAAAGGCAGAGTCAGAAAATAAGGTTTATTGCCTAAGATAAGATATTTGGTTTGGTGTTTGGTGCAGTATCCAATAAATATATTAACAGAAAATAACAATAAATAGGTAAAATACTGCAAGTCAAAAATATAAATATTCATAGAGACACATATTCAAAAAATAAAAGAATGAAAAAAACTATGTACAAAAGGGTTGACAAAAGATCACAGTAAAATCAATATCTGCATCTAGCTGGACAACAGCCGCAGGAACAGGCTAAATTCTACTAAATCGCTAAAACGTAAACATTATACATTTTAATGCCACTTAAAGTGTTTGTCAGTACGCTTTGTCATTAGTTGCACTAAAGATACTTTTTGATAAAGACCAACATAAGATGTTACTCACCAGTCTAAAAGAAAAGTTGCGAGCTCGGCATCAAACAGCGTCTCTTTACCCGCCTGGAGCGCTCTACGGCGGTGGAAAAACACACCAGGATTCACCCGTGTTTTGCTTCTTTTCTTTGCCGTTGAACGTGGTTTCTTGTCGGAGCGGCCCTTTGGAATGGAGATAATGGTACGAAATGGGACACAGTTCTGGTCTCCCTCAAGCCAAGGCAACTGGCATGAAACGGGACAGAAGCATCTCGGTTTTCTGTTACTGTCTCTGCTTCAAGCTCTGGAGGAAGCGGTTCTTCTTTGTTGGACTGAAGGCAGACTACACACTGCACTGACTCACACAGCATCTAGTGTCATAAAGTGGTATTACAACAGGGTGCGGGACGCAGCTAGTTGGTTAGCATGCTCATTTCAATAGATATCTCTGAAATACAATAGATGAAGGCCTTGGTCATGACATCATCACTGTGGCTCCTTCACATACTGTTGATAGTGTTAGTTCATTTTTTGAACATTTTAAACTAAAATTCTGGCCAGATCTTACACATAACACTTTTAAGAGATTTAATCAAACCTGCCAAAGATTGCAGAGGTAGATTAAAACTTAGTGGCTGTTCTGGCATCACACTATTTTTGTTACTGTTAAAAATTCCCTAAAAACACCAAAACCAACAGTGTGTTAGTCCACTTCCCTCCTCTGTCTGTGGCGCTCAGCTCTGAGTCAACGTAAATCTTTAAAAACACCTCACACATATATAGTTTCAGTTTTAAACAGGCTCAGTAGTTTCCTCAAACAGCTGCTCACTGTAGTTTTATCAATGTGACTCAAACAGCTCTCAACTAAAATAGATCAAATGTTGCAACAGTGTGAAAGAGTTATAGTTTCTATGATGTGAGAGTTTTATAGTTTCTTATGCCCCCCTACTTCACAATGATCTGTTAGAGTTTGGCTTCTTTCTGTATTTATATCTGGGCCTGTTTTGTGTGCAGAGGTGAGTTCATAGTCGATCTAACAACTCTACAGACATTAGTAAAGTCTGCACTGACTGTGTGTTATTTTCTTCACGTCTCTCCTTTGCTTCTTGTTTTTTTAAAGTTTAAAGTTTTAAACAATTTCAACTTGCACAGTCATGTCTCATAGAAAACTGCTTTATTTGCATCATTAATTATCTTTTCATTGACTTGAAATTTGGTTTGCTTTCAGACACTTTAAGATGATGTGTGTGTGTGTGTGTGTGTGTGTGTGTGTTGTTCAGGAGGAAGATGTGGATGATGACACTCTGACCACAGACACTCTGAGTCCTGAGACCAACGACTCGTCCCACAGCTCCAACACACAGGTCAGTATGTTTCTACCTTCATTTACACAGCCGCAGCAGCCGTATTCAGTCTGTATGAAAAAACATCAAACTGTGTTGACCTGCACTTCCACAGCCCTAATGTGTGTGTGTGTGTGTGTGTGTGTGTGTGTGTGCGTGTGTGTGCGTGTGTGTGTAGGTGCAGGCTCTGCTGCAGGAGGTGCAGCAGCTCAGGGAGGAGCTGAGGAGCAGAGACCGAACCATTGCGCAACTCACACTGCAACTGGTCTGTGTCCATGTTTCTCTGTTTACATTCTAACTGTGTATCTGAACATGCTAACCTCACCATGGTAACATGTGGGTGTAGGTCATGTGACTGTATATAGCATGACAACATAAACTTCTAAATGAACCCTCTGCGATTTTGTCATAATCTTTATACTGTAGTAGATTTTTCCTTTAATATATTTATGTTTCTTAGGTTGTGACATTACAGATCAATGTGCATGATATTCATATTATGAATAAACAACTGTATTTATAACTAATAATAATAATCTGCTGGTTCGATGTTTGAAATTGTGACAGTTTAGTTTGAAAGGAGCAGAATTCAGCTACTGACTGAAAGCTAACTAATGAATTAATTGTGCGTGTATGTCTGTGTGTGAGCAGACTGTTCCCACGGTGACCGCCAGGTGTCATTGCCAGGAGATGACAGGGAGGATGGATCGACACACACAGACGAGTGTGGCAGAGAGCGAGAGCGTGGCCTCGCAGACGCCCTGGAGAGAGCACGCTGTGAGGACACACACACACACACACACACATCACACATCATACATCACACATCACACACACACACACACACACACACACACACCCACACACATCACACATCATACATCACACATCACACACACACACACACAGACACACACACACACACACACACACACACACACATCACACAACAGCACAACACAACTCACACTTTTAATTGTATATCACTGTTCATGCAGATACAGCCTAAAGTGTTTCACAAGACTGAATTAAGCAGAAAATATCAACAAAAACAAAAGTCCTGAAACTTTATAAACAATAAAACTAAAATAAATGGAAAAGCAGAGACTGAAATCTTAAATCTGTATGATTCAGTGATGAAGCTGATGGAGGGTTTGTGTTGTTTTCTGTCCCCAGAGGCCAGATCAGTGCAAATCTTCAACCCACTTGGGAATTTTGGCTTTCTCTCTTTTTCTTTTGTAACTTTTTTGTTTGTTTGTTTTCTGTTTTATATAATTAATTCACCTCGTTTTTGTTTAGTTTATTTATCTTTGCACAATTTAAAATACACAGAAAATAACAAAGAAAACAAACAGTATACAGTGCAGGGAGAGGCAAAAAGCCCACTGGGCTTATTTAAAGCCTGCACCAAAGTAATGTTGAAATATCACAAAATTATAAAAAATACAAAATGAACATACAAGATGATTTATTTATGTCTTCTCTGTGTCTTCTCTTTCTTCTTCCTGTAAAGCAGCGTGTGTCGTCAGAATTGCTATGGTTATAAAATTTGCCTGCTTCCTGTTGTTTGAGCCTGAACAGACAGGCTTCTGGGTAATGTAGTCCTGACAATTCAAACAGCTGCCTCTAACTACCGTTGATGGGACCTGTGGAGGTTTGTGTTGCTGTAAATGTTGCTCTTATGCAGGACTTTTCCTTCATGAAGCCAAACGTTAGAATCCAAAGTCCGTCTCCCTCTTGTTCTTTTCATCTCTCTTCTCCTCTTCATCTTTTTTTTTGCTGAATCAGCATCCTGTCCTCCTCTCTCTGTCTTTCTTTCCCTCTGTCTCTCCTCAGGCTTTTCCTCCTGTTCCTTTCCTCTCTCCACCCTGGCAGTATCAGCGCTCCAGGCCTTACAGGGGGAGGCCGAGGCCCAGCATCCCCTCCCACCTCGCTAGAAAAAGTGAGTCATGTGACCCCCCCCAACCCACCACCTCACTCCATAGACCCAAAATTCCACCTTAACCTCTGTCCATACTGCTGACTCTTCTCTTCATCATACCCTCATCTTCCTCTTCATCATGATCATCAAAGCTCAACAGGAGATTCAGGGATTCAACCATCCAGACTCCATAATCATCCTTATTTAGTAGATGATTGGTAGGACTCATTTTTTTTTAGTTATGTATAATGTAACTATGTATTTTCAATTAATTATTTTAATTAATAGAATTATTTCAATTAATGAAAAAAACAGATGAACATTGAAAGAAACAAATAAATACTGCAAAGAATCAGAGTGAAAATCTGATTATATCAATACAATTACAGCAGAGGAGGATGTAGTTGTGTTTCTTGCAATTATTTATAAAATGTACGAGGGCTTTACAGTCCAAGTTAAATTGTGACAAAAAGACAGAGACCCTTGGCTAAAAGCTAAAAGTAGAATCTTTGCAGTTTTAAAGCTGTGAACAGCAAGTTTGGTATTTTGATTTGATTTAGGTTCAGTCAACTTAATGTGGCTCCACTCTTATTGCAAATGTTTCTTTTTATTGAAAAACTATATCTGCATTTTGCCAAAATGAGACTACACAATATTTTAGTCTTTTGACTTGATCACTGTGATAGATTCATAGTTTCAAAAGAAGTTCTTGTACACAGTCTTAGTCTCAGGTGCATAGGATCGTTCCTCAGACTCCAGCCAATCAGAGCACAGCTGATAAGAATCCCAGGTCCGATTCTTTCACTGTTCCACCTGACGGCACATTTTCTGAATGAAAGTGACGCTGGACAGCAGACCCACCCAGCTGTTATTAATGTGGTATAACGCTACTGACACAGGATGCTGATGGTCAAATGATACCAGGTTCACTGAAATAAAACCTCACTGTGCTGCTGTTACTGACTACATCATAGAAGCTGTAAAAACTAAATTCAACAGAAGTCAACAGGTGAGGGGTCAGAGGTCAGAGGAGATGTATATTAACGGAGTCTGCTCTGCTAACACGAAATGACTTGAATATTATCCTCAGAATTACCCTCAGCTGAGACGCCACTGCTCTGAATCAGAGCTCCATATTAAAAGTTTCTGTGTGACACTGAAGGTTATTTTAACTTATTCATGGGGATGAACATTAGTTGAGCAACTTCAGAGGCAACATAACTAAACATGACTTTAATCTGCTGATCAGTTTAGGTCTGTTCACTCCAAGTTAGTTTTACTTTTCATTTAGAGTTTTTTAACCTCAATAATCTGGACTCAGCCCGTCCTGTGTTTACTCACCTCTTCTTTTCAAACTTTTCCTGAATTCTTCCTCATACATTCTCCCATCCTTTCTCTCCTCTTCATCTCACATCCTTGAACTGTACCTCCGACTCCATCACTCCGAACAGAAATCTGTTTTGTTTTTTCTTCTGCTGTATGTTCTCCTGTAACTGTCCTCCCTCTGTCCTCTGTGTGTCCTCTCCTCTCTGCCCTCGCCCAGGAGTGGAAAAACTAGTGCTTTACTTCAGTGACACAGCATGGTACAGTAGCAACTTTTTTTTTTATCTTCCTCATGCTCCCCCTCCTCCTCCACCTCGTCTTCCTCCCTGTCCTGATTCTTCCCTTTCTCCAGCGCATCAGATAAAGGAAATTTATTGTCCCCTAGAGTAGGTCAAATATATAAAACCTTAAAGGTGTTTCAGTAGATTTCTGGCCTCTAGGGGGCAAAACAGCTCCACATTAAGCTGAAAAACCATCACCATCATAGCTGTGTGTGTGTTTGTATGTTACTGGTTTGTATGTTGTTACCTGGAACTCCACAGCTTGTTTGATAAAACCAGCTAACGCAAAACTAGGAGCTAAAAGAGGCTGAACATTTCCACACAGTTCCACAGCTGCAGAGATGGTGATAAGTTCAACACATCTGCGTATTTTAGGATTTCACTTTATCTTTGATTCTTTGCAAATATTAAAAAAAAAAATAAATGAATCCAGTAACTCAAACATCAAAACCAGGATCAGTTTACAGTCAGTTCTCCAGTATTTAAATAATGGTTAAAAAAAAAAAAAAAGGCTCAGACACTATTTGAATATATGTGTTCATTAAGTCACAAAGATTTAGAAAACAGTGTAATTTCAGTAGTTTCAGCTGAGGCTGTTTTGAAAACCACCAACCCTTTTTCTTTTGGTTAGGTCGTACCGGCCTTTCCAATCATTATCAATGCTGAATCTTACTTTTGGGTAATTTTTGTAGCTTTTTATAAGAGAGTCAACAGTAGAGGGACGACTTGAAACAGGCATGTTCATTGTCACCTTCTTATCCTTAAGCCTTAAGCCCTATCCTTAAGGTTTGGAAGCCCTGTAAGAAAAATTTAGTTTTTTGTTTGCTTTTGTAATACTCATTTCAGCCACAAGAGACTGAAGTGCATTTTCATCACAAGTAAGCACTTGAGCCCCCTTTGGCTGAAATGAGTATAATAGCCAAAGCCTCTCAGGGCTTCTGTCGAAGGAAAACGAGCAAAGAAAAGCAGATTGAAAAATGGTGAAAATGTAATGAAAATTTGATAAGTCACAACCTTCACTGGTCTAGAGTTTCCCCAGCTCTTATATTATTGGAAACTTCCATTTTTCTGAACACTTTAAAGGCGTCTCACCCATGTTGGCGCCACTAAATGAACCTTGTGGAGAGATTGTTTTAATATTAAAAGAAGAAATCCGATTATTAGGACCTGAAACATTCAAAACTGACATGGCACCATTGTAATAATAAAGTAGGAGTGGGTACGAATTCATACGTAAAATTCTCCAGACCAGCTGTCTGGACTGTTTTACCCATGATTCATTGCTCCCTGTAGGACAGGTCACATCTTTTCCTTCACACTGAAATGAGCCCAGTGAAGTCCAGAGGCTCGTTAGCAGGCAGCGGCAGGCTAAAATTATCCTTATAAATGGCTCTTAAATTTTGCATTAGATGAGGTGCACTTCACTTCGGCTCGTTCAGTCAATTGAAGCAGTCAAACCACTGGAGATGAGATCACTCACGACGCCCTTCAACTCCTCAACATGACGGAGAGAAGCTGCTGCATCTCTGCTCGGGAACCTTGTGTCATGTCCGAAACATAGCTGATGATTACTGGTTAAACACTGACCTCAATGAACTTGGCGTCAGGTGTTTCCTCACCTGAAAGCACCTTTAACAGCACCTTAAATCCTGCTCTGCTGCTCTGCAGACAAACCCCTACACCTGTTTCTTGTGTTAGCATCATGTGCTAACAAGAGATTAAAGGCCATTTTACATGGAGCCTGTCACATGTCATAACAACACTGAGGTTGATTTTCTCCAGTTTCTTCCTGCGATAAGTCTCAGATCACAACAAGTAATATAACTCGTGACAGCAGCTGCGTGGCCAACAACATAACATAAAGATTTAATCTGCACCCCATGTTTATTGTTTATTATTATTATTATTATTAATTATGTTGTTTACTCTTTATTGTTTATTATAATTACATTGTTTACTCTGAATATTTATCTGTTTGATTGTTTTAGAGACATTAAACATCAGCAGTGATCAGATCAGCTACAGTATGTAAATATACATGTATATACAATAATATAACACTTCTGTTATTATCATATTATTCTTTGTTTGAAAACTGCTACCCAGGTCACAAGATGAATAAATATACAGTCAGGTGGAAGTTGATGACAGAACAAAATTGAACTTGTTTATGTGTCTGAACTCAGCCAAAGATCATTTATGAGGGAAGACGCTCCACTCTGTAACACCACTGTTCAGTCAGCGTGGACTGA